AAATCATGACCAATATTCATGATATAACTTTAATCTTTATTTCTCTTTATATGATATACTGTTGTTTCAAGTTACACTCCTTTACAACAAAAATAAAAGTTGGGCATGTAAAATAATTGAAAATTTGGGTATATAAATATTTTTACAAATGCAAATATGGCTATGAAATCTATAAAATAATTCAAATGTGGTTGTGTTGATATAAAACAATTTCAATGTGGGTTTTTAAATAATTACTAATTTTGATTCCTAAATCTTATAAATTAAATGATTCAAACCAATCATACTGTAGACATATTTCATTCTACATTTATAATATTCAATGTTGATATGGTAAATAATTATTATACCAAAATGTGGTTTATATAAATAGCAAATTATGATGATATACAAATCATTCATTTAACAGAAGAAAAATTTGTGTAATGTCATCTGTTGGAATATATTAAGTATTACACATGGACAGGATGTTCCCCATAAAATTAAGGTATTCCACACCCCAGAGTACACGCAACTGTCAAATAGAAGTTATTGCTTTACCTGTAATCAGCCATACAACTTATCAGTTGACCGACCATGCCACTACAATTTAAAAAGTTTGTTGATAGATGAAAATGAAAATCATCATTTTGATGAAAAAAAATTGAATTGAAATGGATTTTCTTCATCAAAATTATGAAGTTAATTATTTTAACATAAAAACAAATTGAATAATTCCCAAAGATTAAAAGAAAATTATTATCTACTCCAGGAATAATAAAAAAAATGTATTTATAATGGGTCCCATCAATGATTTCTATAGAAATGGTTCTCAAACAGACATGCATACTATAGAACTAAACATTTTTTTCTTTTCAGGAAGGAGTTTTTTTTATTATTTATTAATATTTATTTTTGATAAAAAATTATAAAATTCAACACTCAAATTTGAATAAAAAATGTTTTTGGGTTGTTCTAAAAAATGAATAAGGTTTTTGAATCAAGATGGGAACAAATTCTTTGACCTAAACGAAAGCCCCCTCCCTCCCCTCTTTTTTTAGCTACACAAACCCAAAAGATGAATTGTGGGGTCCAAAAGAGATACAAGACACCTATTTTAGTAAAGCAAATTTGACTGGCAGTTTTGCGAACGGCAAAAATCTAACTGCTGTTTGTCAATACCTTCTACTTATATTCCAAGTGAAAACAATTACTTAAATGTTTAATAAAAATAAATCAAAATTAAACTACATGGGGGATTATTCAGGGTATTACAACTTAGTTGCACCAAAAGGGTATCTTACTATATATACCAAATTAATCCTTGATTCTTCAAAGTTTAGTTCAGCCATAATAAAAAGGAGTATATAACAGCAATAGAATGTCATAAACAGTGCAGAATAAGTCTGTTCACATTTCAGGCGAAATTTATACTGTTGAGATAGTGTCAAGACATATTTAAGACTGTCAAGAATGTGTCGAGACATATTCAGACATTATTTAGAATGTCAAGAATATGTCGAGACATATTCAGACATTATTAAGAATGTCAAGAATATGTCAAGACAGATCGAGACAAATTTAAGACAGTCAAGAATTGGTCGAGACTAATCCAGACTCTTATCAGATGATACAGGAAGTGTCGAGAAATTTTAAGACAATGTTCATACTGTCAAGACACTTGTCAAGAAAAATCAAGAACCTTATTAGACAAATTCATACTATGTCAAGAATTTTTAAAAATTATTCAGACAAATTAAGAATGTCGAGTAAAAATTCATGCAAATTCAGACAAAAACTGGTCTTTTCAGACTTTTTGACTTTTGTAGTGATATTTAATGAATAAACTTGCAATTAGTTTTATTTTCAGGGCCATAAATGATCAACACTTTATAAATTGAAAAATATATAACGAAGCACCACTTACAGTTCTGCATGTTAAATTTTTAAATTAGCTCAAATTATTGTAATGTTGGAATCATTTTAATCGCCATTTAATAATCTGTAAATGATAACATGAGAAATGATCATTACAGTTACTGTTAAAAAGATTTTAAAGATAATAGACATTAACATAATAGAATCAACAAATTTTACCAAAAACTTAATGAAGCATACAGTTTGATACTGTATCGTTTGTTATGGTTTTACTTGTACATATCTTCATATGTATTTACTATACCATTTAATGTTGGGTGTTTATCGTACTTACCATTCAAAGCTTGACATACTGGATTGACATAATATTTTGTGGGAGACCGTTCGTATGTTGACATATAAATTTCTGTTTGTTTTTATGATCATAGTACATGTATGTTTATACATGTTTTACAATTCTTGTAGAAAATATACAATTAAGAAGAATCTTTTAAAATGCCAACAGTATTTTCGTCATATAAATTTATGATTTTCTTTTATTTCTCTTTCTCTCATATAGCATATATAGTATAAATAGTCAATAAACTTCAAAACAAATAGACGTTTGTTCCTGACCCTGCTCATTGCTTTAAGTAATATCTGAATTAATTTTTAGCTCACCTGGCCAAAAAGGGCCAAGTGAGCTTTTCTCATCACTTGGCGTCCGTCGTTCGTCCGTTAACTTTTACAAAAATCTTCTCCTCTGAAACTACTGGGCCAAATAAAACCAAACTTGGCCTAAATCATCCTAAGGGTATCCAGATTAAAAGATGTGTCCGATGACCCCACCCATCAACCAAGATGGCCGCCATGGCTAAAAATAGAACATGGGGATAAAATGCAGTTTTTGGCTTATATCTCTGAAACTAAAGCATTTAGAGCAAATCTGACCGAGATAAAAATGTTCATCAGGTCAAGATCTATCTTCCCTTAAATTTTCAGACGCATCAGACAACCCGTTGTTGGGTTGCTTGACCTGAATTGGTAATTTTAAGGAAATTTTGCAGTTTTTGGTTATTATCTTGAATATTATAACAGATAGAGATAAACTGTAAACAGCAAAATTGTTTTATCAAATTAAGATCTACAAATAAGTCAACATGACCAAAATTGTCAACTGACCCCATAAGGAGTTATTGCCCTTTAAAGTCAATTTTTTACAATTTTTCGTAAATTTTTTGTAATCTTTTACAAAAATCTTCTCCTCTGAAACTACTAGGCCAAATTAAACCAAACTTGGTCTCAATCATTATTGGGGTATCTAATACTATTTATTATGATTTTAACCTTATTTTACACGATTTCCAAAACCACAGTAGATACAGTTTGCTTTTAAAATAATATTTTACATGTATTCACAACTATTCTATATATTATAGCTAGACTTGGGAGGATTAAAAACTTAAAATATTGTTATGACATGTCCATTTTAGAAGACCGTAGATTAAACCTTAGAAGTGAATTGTTTTGTTTGTTGTTAAATTGGGTTGCTGTCCAAATTAATTATTTATACTGCACATCTCCTTTTAAATCATTCATAGAAATTAAACATTGCTTAAAATATGTTAGCATACATTTATAATTGCTTTTATCGTCTGAGAGTAGTTTTTTTATTCTTCTTATGTCCCCCTTCGGATATGTTTTTAGTGTTCTGTTCTTCAACGTCTGCTATCTTGACAGGAAGAGCTAGGGAGAGCTAGAGAACATCCATCGCAGCCCAAAGATCTTGGGGTGTGTGTGAGGGCATTTATTATGTAATGAGTGGAAGGGATGAGTCGCGTGGATAGGTCAATATTTTAAGCTTGATGATATTTGATGAGGTCGGGAAATTTAGTTGAAATATATATAAAACGAGGTTGATGATTGAATCTGAAACTTATCAGATGTCGATATTTTTTTACATATGCAATTAAGATCACCAGAGACATATACACTGTGGATATATGTCTCTAAAATCACTGTCGTAAATGTTTAAGATATTTATCAAAACTATTTATCTCTCCATGAAATAATGATAGCTATATGTAGGTATACTTATTGTAAAGAAATATATGATAGCTAGGGTAACTATGTTCTTTTGTTATTCAAAATATATATATGAAAAGGCTGGGGTGTTGGATGTCTCAGCTGCTACCCTTAAAAGCTCGAAGAGTTTGGATTATCTTACTTAGTATAAAAAAAATAAAGAGTTCAAATCCGACACTCTACGGGATTAAAATACATTTACTAGGATTGAATTGTCCCAACCAATCAACGAACTTTAATTATTATAGATTCAGTAATATCTTCCAATCAGGTAGTAAGAAAGCATTCAGTCCGAAGACTGTATTCGTTCAATCCTTAAGGTAGATAGTGTGTCTTCCTCCATCTTGGATTTTGAAATATCAGAAAACAATCGGTCTAGATCTTTAATAAAATGTGCAAATTTTGAGAGTAGTAGGTAATTCATGTGTAGGAATTTTCATTTCAATATAGAAAATGACATGTTTTATCATATTTATGGTTGTATTTAAAAAAAAAACAGAATACTTTTGTTTGATTCAATTTTTCAAACTTTGCCACATAAGGGGAGGCAACTCAAATGTAAGGGCAGATAATTCAGATAAAGTAACGTTACAATAGAATGTGTTAGGAATTTACCTATTTTATTATGTAGCAAGAAAACGGGTCCCGTGACCCAATTTTTTCTTGTTCTTATCTGAAAGCATAATATTAGAGCTATCTTCTCGTATTTTATCTCAAAATTCTATGGTGTAGTTTTCGTTTTATGGCTGAAAATTAGGGTTTCCATGCATAATCTATACAAAATCTGTCAATTTTGCACAACCTGTTGCGTGAAAATAAGCCCCGTGACCCATGCTTTTTATTGATTTTTTTTTAAAAAGCATGATATAAACTACATTTTGGCAAATTATTAAAAAATTCTATGGATTATAATTTAGACACCCCATCTACCTTAATACCGTTAATATATATGTGTAGATTACAAAAAAATGTGTAGATTACAAAAAATGTGTAGATTACAAAAATGATCAGTGTGACAGATGTAACCATTCTTAAAATTGGAGAAAAATCTTTACTACTTATTTTGTAGAAGCCATAAAATGTCGGATTTTTTTCTTCAATTTTTAGTAGACGCAGTTATTGGCTGTTATCGTGAAAATTATATGACCTAGGTTAAAAGTGTAAATTGCAAAAAGGATTAACACGGCAAGATGAATCTACCCTGAATTTTGAAGAAAAAAATAGGCCGACCTGTTATGGAGTTATCATTTCTCCTGAAATATCGATGTATTCATATTTCTTGTCTGTTATCGTAAAGACTAGTAGCTAGGTTAAAAGTGTTAACTGCAAAATTTAACAGAATGACAAGATCTATCTAATCTGAAATATTTGGAGTAATTCTCCACGAAATGTTGATTATTACCGTTTTTTGCAGTTTTAGTTGTTAACAAAAAAAGGACTACTTTAGGAGTTAGGTTAAACATGTAATTTTAACATCATAGTGTGTATATAAAAGTCCTAATGTCTATTTTTTCACAGGCATATGAGATACAGGCTTATTTATGCCACTCTTTAAAGTTTATTTCAGGAGACGTAAAATAAGTATATATTTTTATCCTTTCAGAAAAGCATGAAGCCTCAACCACCACTAGATGTAAACATGGGAAAAGTACAACCTCGCAGCTTTTCCCATTTCAGAATATTAGTTTTGTGTATGTTCTGTACTGTTGTATATGCATACCTATATATCAATATTGCATACAGAACTGAAACTATTTCAAAGATGATGGATAATACACTAGGTGATCTGCAGTATTTACAAAGTAACTTGGAAAAATTATTGAGACCTATCAACACAAAACTAAATCGAAATACCATCAATACCGATCGCGATGAAATTATTAGAAACGAAAAAAGGATTGATAGAAAATCTAAACATTTGTTAGTGCTATTTACGACATTTACAACGAAATCAGAAAAGTACGTTTGCAGAAACAACACTATAAATAACTGGATTTCATTTGGAACTGTTGTTAAACCGGTGTTTTTCTCTGACGATCAAAATCTTTCTAAAGAAATTAAAGAGAAAGGTTGGGACGTCATCCCACCCACAAAAACCGCCGTAGGAGTTCCAATACTGAAATATATGTATTTGGAGGTAATGAAGAGGTATTCAGCTCATTTTTATGGTTATGTTAATGGAGACATTTTATTGACACAAAATCTAATCGATTCTCTTCAATTCATTTTTAATTCAAACGTCAACCAAAGTGAGCCGATGTTGATCGTGGGTCAGAGAACAAACGTGAAGGAAGTGACTGCTGAACAAGCATCTACATTTGAAAATATAACAAAAGTTTCAAAAACAGGAATACTGTTTACACCCTGGGGAGCGGATTATTTTATAACGAATGCCGTCTATCCATGGAAGGAATGTCCGGAAGTTGTGATTGGTAGAAGAGCATACGATAACTGGCTCATACTGAATGCTAGAAAACGGAACCATACTACAATCGATGCTACTGAAACGTTATTAGCTTTACACCAAACGACTAAAGCGGGAAATGTCGAAGGACATACACACTCAAATGGTAATTTTAATGACAAATTACTTCGTACTCTTTACAAGCGAATCAATTATGCTGCTGGGCTGACAAGTTGTACTACTTATACTACTACGCGCTATGAAACAACGAAGGAAATACAGCTACTAAAGAGAAAAATAGGAAAAACATGTTTCCCTATTTGATTACCTTCTGCCACGAAGTACTAGATACATATATTTTTACACTATTCTGTGCTATAAATGTAAAACAGCAGGAATCCAGTATGTTTTATATGGTGGTCGTAAAAGATATATGTAAACAAAAGATCTAGAATAAAAAAAATCTTTAAGGGAGCTACCATTTGATTTTTAGGGAGGGGGGCTAGGATGAAATTTGAAAAAAAAAGGCAGGACAGGAGTTTTGAGTAAAAAAAAGGCAGGATGAGCAAGTTTCAAAAAAAAAAGGCAGGATGACAATTTATGTAAAAAAAATCAGGATAAACTAATTAAAAAAAACGGCAGGACCGAATAGAGTGAAAAATAAAAAGGCAGAACAGCGATTACAACTTAAAAAAATGCAGAACTTAATGTTTCATCCTACGCTACCACGAGACCACCGAGGCGATTTTTAGGCCTAGAAGGTGCGTTTCTACTTTTTATAACTAAACACAACGAAGAAGGAAGGAGAAGGGGTTATAAGGTCCTTACTTGGCCAAAATATTAGTGCAAATTCTAAAGTTACCATACATATTCTGAAATTTGTCATAATAAGCTTAGGTACAACGTGTTAAGGAAAAAAAACTAATATCACATTAAACCAGTTACCATGGCAACAAACCATGACGAACTTTGTATAACTAAGGAAATATTGATGGAAAGCCGAAAAAAATTGTTTCATGACAAAAGCTGAAATTTTTACGTCATAATATCAAAACTATAGTGCAATTCATTTATATTTCTTGATCTAATGCGTTTTCAAATATGTGCAAATTTTAAATAAATCTCAAAAACTATTTTCTTAGGCCTTAAAAGGGGCATTAATTACACCTTTCCATATGTTAATGACGTCACAATGACTTCAAAACTGACATTTCTGTCTGTACCATAGAGTACAGACCCCCTTTTACACTTTGCTTTTCACAAAAGATCGTAAGTTTGTTGTATGATTTGTAAAACGTAAAATGTACAACAGTTTGTATGCACTGCAGAACATAAACTAACAAAATTATACTAACAAAATATAGAATTAATCAGTTGTTTTTTTTGCATTTTCGGGGTTAAGTTTTAAATTAATACCCCCCACATTAATAGCTCTGCTTTTTTTTCGTCACTGTCGTCGTTGCCGTTAACTTTTCCAAATATTTTCTCTGAAACTACAGACCCTTATATAAGCAAACTTGGCCACATTCATAGTTCGTATCTAGTTTTAAAAATGTGTCCGCCGCCTGTCAATCAACATGACCGAAATGACTAAAAATAGAATTTAGAGATACAAATGAAAGTTTTTTCTTTTATCTTGAAAACGGCCTTAGAAGGAGAAAATCTGCCTTTGCAGAACGCTGCGAGTTATTACCCTTACATGACAATTTTACCCTAGTTGTGTTTTGGCAAATATTAAAGAAGACAGAGAAATTGTTAACAGAAAAAATTATCAGCAAAACAAGATAAAATAAAAGAAGAATGTGTCTGAGGACACGAATGCCCCCGCTCAAGCTTTGTAACGAAAATGGGCCGGACGGACGATCTAGGACAGGGGCATAAAAAGATTTTAGTCATGAATTAAATTCTCGTCTACACTATTGGAGAGTATAAATCGTTGAAGATGCACACAGGTTCTTTTATACCCTCTGGTTTTATTGTAGATAAACAAAAAGGATTGGAAAAAGTTATTCCAAGTCAAATAAGTCCTCTACTAACATTATTTACACAAACTACAAGCGGGCAAATAAATATGACATTATTTAAATTAAATAAAGCACATTAGTCAATGGTAAACAAGTTGAGAGCTGATCGGTACCCTAAAACTTTTTTGGTATGTTTTATTTGTGTCCTGCATAAAACAAAATATTCGTGAGTTGTCATGATCAAACAATAAAACTTCAAGATGAACATTATTTTCGTCAATATTTGAAAATAAAGTTCTTGTTTGGTTTGATACAAGGGACGCTTGAGAAAGCAGTGGAAGGCGTCTTCAAAAGGTGACCCACGTCTACATTTTGGGTTGTTTTCAATGTTAATTCTTGATAGATCTGCGTTAAATCATGGAAGTATTATATTGACAATATAATACTTACATGGTTAAATGTACTGTACTGGTACCAAAGCCGTGTATGCAAAATGTTTAGAATTCTATAACCTTCACGCTTTACGGCAATAAACTCTAATTCCCACATAGATTTATCCATATTATTCCTGATTGGACAGCTTGCATATAAATGAATAAGCTGGGGTTTTTTTTATCATGCAACTTGTGGGCATATTGTTATCATTATTTCGGCGCTTAGACCCATCTCATTAACATTAGGGGAGGTAAACAATTGATTGAATATTCTGGACATTTTCCATTATGTATTTTATTAAAGACTTTTCCAAAATTTTCTACTTTAATTGAGGTATCCCCCTGATTCAAATTATAACGCTAATGGCCTCTAATATGCAACATACCAAAGATACCATAGACCCGTTCGAGTATGTCGTTATAAAGAAGAGGTGTACCTGGTATGTCCCATATTACGAACATGGCTGACCTGTTCAAAGGCTATTAAAAGTATACCATGGTACCAGAGATAAAGGTAGGCATAGCGTTTAGTGTGCACCGTACCATCATAAACCCTTGACCCGTACGAGTCTTGACAGCATCCAAAAGTTGGGAAGTACTCGGTATGCAAACAAAGTATTGCCGACTTATCAAAGACTTGAAGTCGGACGTGATAAGGAGAGGTAAGACACCGTAGCACTTGTACCCCGGACCTGTATGAGTCTTATCAACTTAGTGGAAACCTGGGTAACCGGTTTGTATCATACTCTAAACAAAATATTGCTTGCAGGCTTTAATGTTATAGGCTTATAAAAATGGGCCATGCATGGTTTCAGAGGTAGAGAAATGTATGACCTCTAGTATCCACTTTACCACAGATACCCTAGACCCGTATATGTCTCTGTATAGGGAATGGTGGGGTATCCGATATTTATCAGTCTTACCAAAGTATTGCCGGATTGCCTTATCTTCTTCTTAGAGTTGGACTTTATATCGGAGGTAGAAGTTGACATGGTCTCAAATATGCATCGTACAGCCTACAAACTTAGACCCGTACGTCTGTTAGAATGGGAAATGATGGGGTATGTTCCATAACAAAAACAAATGTTTTGCATACTGACCTTTTATAAGGCCTCAAAAAGTAGGTCATTGTACAGAGTTTAAGGTAAGCACCATATCTCGGATACCATAGACCCGTACGAATCTATCAGCTTTTAAAGGTAGGCGTAGGGTACCCGGAATATCGGATACTAGTACCCCCAAACAAAGTTTAGCTCGCCGGCCTTATATAGGGCTTCAAAAAAACGGGCCCTGGTGGTAAAAATAGGCATGGCCTCTGGCCGGCATCGTACCAGAGATACCATAAATTAAGACCCGTACTAGTTTGACAGTAGAGGTACTAGTAATTGGGTACCCGGCATGTCCCTTCATCTACAAAAAGTATTGCTAGCTGTACTTTTAAAGAATTTATTTTGTTAACAACAATTTTATTTGCTCAAAGATACAAAAAGGATTGGACACCAGTTTAACTAACTTATGAAGTCTTCTCTTTAAACATTATGTAATTTATCTACGTACTGTCTCACTTGCCATCCAAAAAGAATTTATAAAATTGCGTCCGTGTTAACAGAGGTAGGGGTAGGCATGGACTCTTGAATGTAACGTTTAACAGATATCCTAGACACGTACACGTCTGTATGCATAGGTGATAGGGTATCCGGTACGTCCTTGGTCTAAGCAGAGTATGGCTGGTCTTTTTAATGACTTAAGGTGGGCCATGGTACCTGAGCTAGAGGTAGGTATCGCCTATAATAGGCATCGTACCACATATTATTATACCCTCGAGTCCTAGACAAGCACGAGTTCAAGTTTATATGTTTTGTCTCATTTCCAACACTTAAACAACTTATAGTATTCTACATATACGATGTAATAATCTGTTGTAATCAATGTTCTTATTTCCGGGACCATGGTGACCGAGTGGGTTTATGTAGTTTATCTGCGTACTGTATCACTAGCCATCCAACACTAGGTTGGGAGTTCAAACTCTGCATGTGGCAGGTGCGTTCAACTCCAGTCTTAATTAACTAAAATTGTCTGTTTTCCTTCCAAAGGTCTGTGGTTCTTTCCGGGCACACCGGATATAAGATACAATTATGGCGCCCAGTGCTGAGCATAGTAATAACTCATAACAATGTACAGATCTATTCTGTCATCAATGGTCTCATTTCAGACAATTTTTTTACTATTGTACAGATACGATGTACCAATCTGTTCTGTCAGCAATGGTCTCATTTCTAACATTTCGTTACATGTCTGTAGAATCCATGGTTTCATTTCCAACGTTGAGTTTTAACTATACTACACTATATGAAAAAAAGACGCTTGTCACTTTTAATTAAATGCTTCATCGAAATATATCTCAAAACATCTAAAGTCATCATCAAGCACACTATAAATCCTTATATGGAGTCATTTGTTGGTTTCCGTCATTGCTCAGAACTACTTCCTGAAATGAGTTGCAATTATCGTAATTAAAAGGCGATATGGACACATATATTTTGATGATATGTAGCAGGCTTGGTCTGCTTTGTGAACTATCCCCCACTGACTCTCAACAGACGAACGACTTCTGTGAGAGCAGGCACTGTAATGTTAACATTTTGGTGGATGGATAGCTGTTTAACGTCCAGTGGCCTATTACTGTGACTTGACTGTAAGTGTTGCTCTCCACCTATTGCAGTTTATTCAAAATTCTGACCAAATTACAATGTTTTTATCAAACCAAACTGTTCAACTGGTCAGAAATTGTAAATAACTGCTGTAGAAAACCACAGTCAAGTCGTGAAAGTGCAAGGTAATTAAATAAAGCTTACTTACAACCCTATAAGACTTTATTACCACTTCATTGATATCAAGAAAATGTTTATATCAATTTCTATACATTTTTTATTGTAATTATCATTCGAAAGGTGATAGGTTGATCTTTAAATTGCCATAGAAATTTCCAAACTAAACTTTCATATAATTTTTCTTTTAAAAAATCATCTAAATTCATAAGAATAAGACATCAGTTTGAATTAAACTATGTTATATT